GAGAAAAGGAATATTGGGCCTAGTTCAAAAACAATAAGGTAAATCTTAAATACTTGGTGCGTACTTCCATATCTCCATTGGGTAACTCCTTGAGCGAATATAAGTTCATTTGTCTTTTTCATTCTTGCGGCATCCCATTTTTCAGGCAAAGACTGTTCACCTACCCAAAAAACCTTGTCTTTGCCACAAAATATGGAGTATGAGGACCAATTTTCTCGTATCTTAACAGTCCAGATGCATGATGCACTGTTGGGTAGATTTGGTTCTGTTGCTGCACTTTCGTCACAAAACAGGACTACGAGTTCGTTCCCACTTGTCTCGATTGTGATGGAACGATCTTCATTGTCATTTCCGTTGATGAAGCTAATCCTGGCAATGATCGTTTCTCCTATGGTACGAAATTGGAAAGCAGTTCCAACTTGAATGGGATCACTGTGGCTCGGGGGATAAGTAATCACCTCATTAGAGTTTATCACTTGCCAATCTGAAAATTGTTTTATTTTATTTTAAAAGTATTATTATTTTGAATCATAACTTGTAATTATCACCACTTCAAATTTTAGAAAATACACGCGCGACTCACGTATACTTTCAATTGGTGTTTAACTACGTTACCTGTTGTATCTGCTGCTTGTATAAGAGTTGTCCATTGAAGCAACACCAAAAACACAGTTATCATCTGTCTGCTGTAATTCCTCGGAGCTTTTTCCCTCATCTAGAGAGCGTTTCTTTACCGTGATAGCTAGAGCAGGTCGTAAAATATCAGTAAACAAATTTACCAAACCATTAAAGTTGTGTAAAGGATAGTTTATGTCGAAGATGCTTCTCACTTATTCAGCAGTTACCCACTGTCACGTGCTCAGATCAGAGGAACCTATTGCATAAGGCTGATAAGTATTTGAGGGGTAATGAACAGAATTCTTAGCATACCAAATTACGAAATAAATAACAACATTCTGATCATTCCCCCTATTGTGTCCCAACCATTTTAAATTAAAAGGTAAAGCCTATTTGTCACACACTGTGATAGTCTGTTTTTATCTAAAAATGTAGGTAGATCAGGATTCAGGTACTTTCTCCGCATCTTTGATCTTTGTCAGATAAAAGGACTACAAGGTATATTCTAACTGTAAAATAATGAGGGGTATCATGGTAGGTAAGTTATGATCGAGCGATTATCACCTAGAGAACCTGTACTCTATCTTGGTAGCTACTCGATCAAAGCGTCAACTATCAGCAAACAACTCTACCAAAATAACCAAACCATGAAATGAGCCGTGGCCGTTGAGCGTGACAATCGATAAATTAGAAACTTCATAACAATTCAGTTGACGTGCCACATGTCAGTACAAACCTGACAATTGCACTAAAATAACCCGGCACCTGAAAGTTCCACTTCATGCTTCATTTGAAACACATGTTTCAAAGTAAAGTTAGTCAGTGGTGTCGGGCTCTAACTGTCCGTTAAACAGCTCACCAAATGCCTAAATGCTGTAGTAATCGTCTAAATGCTCGCTTTAAGTTGAGTTATATTAGAGACAGGGGAAACCGCAACTCTTGGAACTGAAGAGGATCTATATATTTATCGTTTATTCAAAGGAACTGCGACTTAATAGTTTTCACTTTTCATAGAGATGATATGAATTGTCGTTTTTGAGAGACAGAAATAGCATCTAGTGTTACGGTAATGATTATTAGTCTGTATCACAATAGTCCTCAAAGGAACATTTCAGTTTAGAGGACTGGACGGTGACCTATAAGGAAATAATAGTAGACATTTCAGTATAACTTGAGGACTTTAAATAGTACTGCACGACCCAAATTGGTAAATAAACAATATTATGTTAGAGATCATTAATTATTATCCATATTATGTTAGAGATTATAATCTATATTATGTCAGATAAAATTATCTATAATGCAGGTAATTACTCATCAATTACTCTCTCACCGTAATAAACTAATAAAGCTTCCAATTAGTTGTGTCTGACATGTTACCAAGAAGTACTGAAAAAGGCGCCGACAAAAGGCAAAACTATATTTTCTAAGTCCAAGAAAATTAACGAGAATTTTGTTAAATCTAAGAACGTAAACCAGCTCAAAATAAAGGTCACGTTTCCTAGAGCGGTAACAATCTCTTTTAAAAAGAGCGATCTCTTCTTCGGTCAATTCCACAGTCCACCCACAGCTTCCTTTTCTCTAAAACTTAAATCCACAATCAACATTCATTTGACTGTTTCAACTCGACATATCAATTACCGCTCAAATATCAATTCATGAATAATTTATAATTTATTCAGGATAAAATAACTAAGAATAATCTGAATTAAAAGTTAATTTGGTCGGTAACTAACTACGCAATTGCTTCTATCTCTGCAATCTGCATAATTTCAAAGTTAGTGCAATTTCACAAATCAACAAAGCAACATCCACTTCATTATAGATGTCCCCCATTTTTCTATACTTATTCTTCTATCTCAGAGTAACAGTCGACCGGTCGACGTCATTATATTATATGCAGTTGCCAAACAGTTGTTGGCAAATGAATAATTTCTGCTTAGTTAAAAGAGAGGCGACGGTCAATTATTTCTTTTTATATCAGCTCTGTCCTGTCCAAAACAGGCTATAATTACAACTGCAAATACGCAACCATAATTGGTTTTGATAGGAGTTTGTCTACATCACTTCGTTTCTGCAAAACGAAAATCTGTCACGAATCCGTACAAACAACTCTTTAAATCTTAATTGCCCCATGAACAGTTACTAAACAGGGGCAATATGCCTCTTGCTCACGTTAATAGTTAGTTTCCAGTTTTGTGATCCTCCACTCTATCTCCCTATTTTACACACGTATTCTACGTCTTTCTTAATAATTAAAGATATTGGCACCATTTTCAATTGCCACTTCTGCACTCATCAGTTTATATACAAATGGCAGAACAGTATTATATACACTATAGTAACCGCACGTTTCTTATTAAGTTATCCCATCAATTGCCTCCTTCTCTGCTGTCTGTCGTTTTACATACTCTGAGTTACAAAGTGGGTGTCTTTCCTCGCCGAAAAAGACTGGATTCGAGACATTTGCACTTAAACAGAAACTCAACCTAAATAGAGACTCGCTTTCTTTGTAAAGTTTAATTTAACGCAATTTAACGCTTAGATAAACTTTTATTAATTGCCGTTATAGTGAACGGGAGATATCTAGCTTGTAGCTTGTTGCTGACGACCTCTACTTGGAGAATATCTCAGTTGCACCAGATCCGGGAATATCACCATCTTCTTCAACATTGGAAGTTTAACGTCTACACTTTGATAATCTCCTGGCACTGAATAAAAACAAACGAATCTCCTCCCCCAACAGCTCCGGTGGTACCTTCATCACGTCATGGCAAGGCTCTCCACCAGGCGGATGGTGGCTGCCTGTATCATTGTGATCGCCATGCTCCTGATCCTGATTGCGCTAGGTCATGTTCCTGACAATAAGCTTCAACCCACCTCCGGAAGAGAGGGGTAAAGGGAGTGTGGAGATGGGAGGAGGGGAGCGTGATAACGAGACTGATGACGAGACTGATGATGATGATGATGATGTCATCATTGGTTCTAATGACGTTGATGCAGAGGGTGATGTTGTGCCGGTTACTGTTCAGCATGTTTATGGAAGTAAGAAAACGATTATTGTTCTTAGTATTTGTGTTTTGTAAACGTCCTATCATTACAGTAAAGACATAGTAACGCCATTAATTATACTGAAACAGTTTTCAGCTATTTACTGCTAGACTTTACTGTGCAGTTAAAAATTTGAAGAATGCGTCCTTGAAATAATGCACCTTTCTGAGTTTTTCAAGATTATGCTTTCATATTGCGCTTTATGTTTAGCCATAATACATACTTATACAATATATGCAGATGAACAAAGCTAGAACAATCACAGTTCGTTTAGAAATACATGAGCTTTGTCGGTACAACATGTCAACATGAATCCTCTTTAGTTCTAATTACTCCCGAATTATAGTTTATAGCGCAGTTCCAACATAACTAAGATAGACTCTGTTAATGTCGGGAATGTTGTATAATTAGTGGCTGGTTACTTCCACCTACTTTAAACCTATTTAATTTTCTGTCTCCTCCATTTCATTAATTCTCGGATACTTCATGACCTGTTCCAAATTTTCTGTCTCCTTTAATCTCGTTAATTATCCTCAACAATAGACAAACCCATACAAGCACCGTGTACTAAGTTTGATTTGTACTCCGCTCAAAACAAAACAACAAGATGTCACCCCTGTCATCGTTCATTGTTCATTAACTACTTAAAGTTAACAGTTATGTCTGGCATATGATAATAATGTGTTTTCTCTTCCCCTCGTCACATGGTTTTATATCACACTTAACGTATCCATGAGGAACGCGTATCTTGTCGGAGCTGATTGTACGTGCTATGCTTGTGTAGGATGTGTAGGGTGTGATCGTACGTGTTTCGCCTCTTTTGCTAGATGGGTTCAAAATAACAGGCTTACTTTCTCTGCCATATTTTTGTTGTTCCTGGTCTTCTTTTCTCTCCTTGGTTACTTGTTGTTTTTCATCAGTCAGCAGACTCTTCTTGCTTACGCTCTTGAAGGTTTCCAACCTTATTTAATATTTTATACCAGTGCTCGTTTATCTCGAACGAAATAAAGTTTCAAAATATCTCAAAATTTCATTTACCTCAGCTCTCCATAATAATACCTAATGAAGTATTCAGTAAACGACGTAGATTTGATTTGGGATGCCAGAAATCTCGGCACTGCTGCATGCCAAAGCCAAGGCAATGAATCAGGGTGAAAACTCCTGGCACCGTGATCCTGGTAGTGCCATGATTTCGGTCGATTACTGAATGTATCTAGCCATGAAATTATTCGGAAGTCTACATTCTGCCACCTCATTTTCACTCAACCTACTTGACACTCAATTTCAAACTTATCATTAATCCTGCCTTCTAACCGTCTAACCTTTTTCAGAGTGTGACTGTTCTGGAGCTGGCTCCCTCTCGGACACATGTGACCAGATAACCGGACAGTGCCAGTGTAAACCCGGATTTGCAGGCAGAATCTGTGACCAGTGTGCTGCCTCGCACTACGGATATCCCGCCTGTACCAGTAAGATATACATTATCAATTAAATTTCACTCCGAGATGGCTGCTTCTAATTTTATTGAAAATATGAGATTTATTTGAAATTTTCCCACGTGGGCACCTAGTTTATGTTCAGTTTACAGATCACTAATGAATAACTCGTTATATCAGGTTGTGATTGTGACCCAGAGAATTCGTACAGTGACACTTGCGACCAGGAGACGGGTCAGTGTGAATGTGAACACAACTTCAAGTACTAAATTTAGCTTTGTAATTCTTTAATTTATCATTATTTTTTTCAACATTAATATGCTAAATCCTTTTTTAGATAATATTATGCAATATGCGGATATGTAATAAATATTCTTATTCGTAAACCAATGAAACAGGAGACTGTTTTAAACTTTTAAATCACACGGTAAAAGAACCAACATTAGGATAATCTAACACATGTGCTCGTGTTTGCAGACCCCGTCAGGACACCTGATAGTACCACTGGGGCACACATCAGGTTTTTTAGTCGGGTCTTCTACACAGTTCCCACACGTTTTCCTGCACAGCTTCTCAGAGTATATCGGCATGTTACATACGTTAGGTCGGCACCAGTTCTCAAACTCGTCCCTGCAGTCAGGATCCGGTTTTGGGTCGGGTCCAGGAGTAGGACCTGGGTTAGCTTCAGGGTCATAGCTGCAAGCAGCTGATTCTGGGTCAGAGTCAGCATCTGCGGTAGCCTCGAGGGTAGGGTAGGCGACGTAGTCGTGCAGTTTGCAGTTGTGGTGGTCCCTTGCCATCTTGACGAACCCTGAGTCTCCCCAGACACTTCCCCAACTGTTTTTAACCACAACGTAAGTGGGCGAGTACCCCACAACAGCAACTGCGTGGTTCACACTTCCTCTACATGTCCTGTCCTTCATTATTCCCTTTTTGTACGAATGTAGGGAGTTGGTCACCTCGAATGCTACAGCGGTGGGTGTGATAGCCAGAGCCTGGATATGAGCAGCCTCGCCTGGGTCAACTCCGGTATAGCCGGTTACTTTAGCGCTCTGGAGACCATCAGGGACTGAAGAGAGATCACAAGCTCCCCTCTCACTGTCAGTTGCTGTGTAGGGGTAGTTAGCAGCAGTTGCAAGTCTGTTGTTTCTCCTGGAGTAGTCATAACACGTCGTGTGCCACCCTCCCCGACAACCGCTCCTTTTCTCGTAGACACAATCCAACAGTTCCTGCTCAGCGAAGCTCTTCAGCTTGCCTCCCACTGCTTTGTACATCCCCTCCAGGGCAACTGTAGCTCCGAATGACCAGCATGATCCGCAGCTCCCCTGGTTCTTTACAGAGGTGACTCTACCCCCAGATATCCAGTTAACTGTGTCAGGTGCAGGGTCCTCAGAGAGGGAGAGAGTGTGGGATGGAGAGGTAGCAGGAGCCATGGACACGTTCAGACCCAGCCACTGTCCCCGCTCCTCCGTGGACAGATCTGCAAAGAAGTTCAGCTCACTTTCCCAGCCCATATTCTGTTTGTTCTCAGAGTTGACAAACTTCATGGTACTTCTGAAGATCTTGTAGCGAAGTGCAGACTCGGTGGCGCCATAATGACGGTCATTTCGAACTGCGAAGGCACGAAACTCCTGGACAGATAGCCTAGGGCTCTTGAGTACTTCATCGTAGTCAACTGCAGCAGATACTGCTAAGACAGTAAGAATTAGAACGTTCATCTTGGAAATTCTGGTAGTTTAAGAATCGTGCCCGTGCGCATTTAAGGTCTCTACCTTATGTCACGTGACCACAATTAACGAAGAGAATAACGTGCCAGTCAGCTGGTTGCTACAAGAATCACGCATCAGTTGGGGAGTTTAATCAAATAAGCCACCCTACGAAATTGAATGATTCAATTCTAAGTGCGAATTTAAATTAAACTTGATCTTTCATGAGTTTAGCATCTGCTGTACTGATATTTCATCGAATTTTCAAATAAGGTGGCACTGTTTTCCATCTTTGCGTAAAACCATTGAATCTTGAACAGAACATCATTGCATTTCAGAACAGAATCTCATCCTACTCTAACGTCGTACTGGTTGTGTTGTGTGGCAAGACAAAATAAGCTACATTAAAAGTAATTTTTTGCAGTAACAAAACTATAATCCATCCCAATTTTAGGGGTCTGACTTGTACGGAGTGCGCAGATAGTTACTATGGTTACCTGAATGACAGGCTGACGTGTGATATTCCCTGCGAGTGTGATGTACAAGGATCTACCCAACTTGGCTGCCACCACGAAACTGGACTGTGCAGGTAACACTTTGATCTCTTGTCCGTCCTTACTCCTTATTTCATGGAAATTGTGATGTCTTCGTTAAGAAACTTTGGAACTTAAAGTTATCTTACTGTTATCTTTTTTATTTGTAGATAACTATTTTGGTGAAGAGCGACTGCTCTGCCATATTCATATTACACCCGCGCCATCTTCTACTGTGAAAATCTCTTAACGTTGGGGCTAAACTTTCCACACCCACAAACTCATTAGTCGCTCTCTTATAAATGTAACACTGTGAATTTTTTGAGAAATGCCAGAATTAGTTGTAGTGAGAGATATGGCATTGCAGTGAGCTATTAACAGTAAAAATGGCATTGTAGCTTTGTAGTGAGAGGTAGGTTGGGAGAGAATAACTCACTGATGCGCTGATGCACTGATGCACTGATGCACGGATGCACTGATGCACTGATGCCAGATGCACTGATGCACTGATGCACTGATGCACTGATGCACTGATGCAAGGATGCACTGATGCACTGATGCACTGATGCACTGATGCTATCACCCTCTTTAACTTATACTATGTTACTCCGGGTATGTGAACCGGAAGAAGATGGTATTAATTAATGGCTCTCACAAATTAGTTGTTTCATAAAATTGCTGAGAGACTTGAATGTATGCAGTATTGTCCATAAATGAGACAAGAGAAACGCCATCTTAGGACGCGACTCGCGAGGAGGATTGGGACTCCTCGTACTAAATTAAATCAATTCCTTCTATAACATCCTCAATAAATGTATTCAGTTGTAGTTGTGAAAATAGCAATGAAATGTTGCAGGGAGAAATGAAATTTGTCTTTAAACGATAGCTTTATAGATGTGGGTTCTGGTGAGGTTATGCAATTGTTTCAGTGATTTTTGGGTTTGGACAATAGTGGATGTTGATTTTTGATTGGTTAAACGTGTCAAAACATATATCCCACCTCCCAACAGAATTTAATTTGATATCTTTGTTAAGAATTAGTCAATATTAATTCTCCAAAACGTTTCGCGTACTGACAGATAAAGAGATAAGCATGTCCAGGGCCAGAGGCATCATATTGTATTGCGTCGTTAGTGTTGCATGAATGTTTGCACCTGAATGACAAAGTTAAAATAGCTACAAATGTATTGTACCTGTACAAAGAGAGTCAGAAGAAGTGCCGTATACTTGAATCTCTGCTGGATTCCATTCACCCACATTTCCCTCCTGAGTCCTGACTCATCTCAATTACATTTCCGTCTCCTTCACAGTTAAAAGTGTAGGAAGTTTTTACACTGCTGATGTTACCACAATCTTTAACATACTCATCTCCTATCTTTATGAAGATTGAAGCTCCAATTATCCTTTCTTTACAGCATTTGTGCCTGTTGTAGACGATCACTTTAGTGACAAGAGAGCACTGTTCTAGATTTATGCGTATCCACATACCGTCGTTTTGACCAAACGATGCTACGAAATTGTTTAGATTTCCATCGATGAGATTTGGAGGAGGGTAGTTACCCCAGCTGTTCTTCATCTCTGCACTTGCAATGTTCAATCTGCCTACTTCTGAAACGTTCTTTAATTAGAAATTACACATCGCCCTATAAATATTATAATAAGTCACTACCCGACCCTATATATTATATAAGGCATCTATAGATAGATAGATCCAAACCTGGAGAAGGAATTTTTGAGTAGAAAATTCTTTATGCTAAGTTTTAAATCAAAGTTCTAATAGTTACAATCTTGCAGATAAACCTACCCTCGGTGAGTGTAACCAAATTAACAAATATCATCAGGTACATCAGCTTCATTCCTAGATTCCTAGATACCACTATGAAACTATTCCTAGATATGAAACGATCAAAATATGATGAAATGATGAAACGTATTTTAGAATTATTTGCTAGAAAAATTAGGAATTTTTAAAGGTCAGAAATACTATGAATGGCGACTGAATAAAAAAACAGTTCTCAGATTATGATTGTCCACTTGTCAACGTCTGACAATTAATATAAATATTATATGACATGGTTGGTTTAAGAAGGAATTTTCATATTGTTCTGAAAGTGGATCAACTGTATAACTATGGTGGTACCATAAACCATTCGGTTAGAAGCAAAAACAACCATTCGGTTAGAAGCAAAAACAACCAATACATACATTTAGTAACCGACCGGTCTAAGGTTTTGGCTGCCGGACCGGAAAAGACCGGATATTCCGGTTTGCCGCATTTTTCCGGACCGGAACCAGGTAATAAGAGGAAGAAATTTAAGGCTGCCGGAAATTGCCGGAAAATTGAGATTAATCCTTTATTGTGGGGTTTTATCAATTATAATATTAAAAGCCATGTGGACATAATGAGACAGTGCTTACAGTCCGACTAACTGTGTTCATGCCCTATTTCAAATTTCAACAAATTTTCTGCTCTGACGTCTACGAGCAGCAGTCATGTTGATAATCAACTTGATATGTAGTGCGAGCAGTACAGAGGTCACTGATTGATCTGCTGTATGAGCAGAGCTAGAAACGAGTTGGAATAAAATAAAAAAACGCACATTACAAGAATTCACTGCGCTTTTCCTAGCACAAATGTACAAATTGCTTTAAAATTAAAGCCTAAGATCCAGCAGCCAGCTCTCATAAGTTCGTGGCGTCGATGTAACCGAAGATAATGTCCAAAGTTTTTAATGGCATAATGTCAATATGTTCATTATATGCAAGCCTTTTGATTTATAATCACCGGGTCTAGTAATTGTTTAAGAGAGTTCTCTGGCAGTTACGAAACTCGAGAGACTGTGGGATACTGAAGGGAAAGGAAGCAGTTCTAACGAGCGCTTCTCAAACACAAGGATATATCTTGTGAACTTGGCTAGTATATATCAAACATTTGACATGGAGCTATAGAGTGAGTTATGTGCCTCGCCGGGCTAAAGTAGTGGATGTCCTTGATGTACGGTAAGTTAAACAAGGAACTGAAACTACTAGGTTCCATACAGACTCAACTCTGCACCCATGTCAATATGTTCATTATATGCAAGCCTCTTGATTTATAATGGCCTTTGTATTAATCCTTGACATAAGGGGAGTTAGCAACGGGTTTGCTTACCACAATAAACCAGGGACCCTCTGCTTGAAATGCTCATAAATAAAGCATTATATATGGTAGCTGTTTTGATTCTCTGTGTTGTATACAAAATCTCACGAATCTTGAACATTCACTGGCAGATAACAAGCGACCGTGGAGTCGTGGAATTTACTGGTCACTGATAGCACTGACTGGATGCCCCTTAGCAAGAATTTAGACAAAAATATACATTTCAGGAACATGTAAAAAAGAAATTTCCGGTTGAACATCCGGCCAAATTCATGGAAATCGGAACCGGACATTAAAGCAGGATATCCGGCCGGAACCGGATTCAGCCGGATATCCGGTCGGTTCCTACATACATTATACCATTACACTAGAGTCTAGACAGAAAGTGAACATGACGTCTTGCTACACATAAACGTGGCGTTGCAACAGTAAAGAACTGAGAGTATGAGTGAAGCAGACCTTTAAATAGCCAAACACTGCTAATGTTACTGTGGGAGAGCTACCCTACGTCTCTCATTCGTAGGATCCATACAAGCTAACACACATCATACGTTTCTGCTGGTTTACTATTGTGGTAAATCACAAAACTTATGCTGGCGCTAGAACCCGCAAATAAAATCGATTTCATGAAAAGACCACAATCAAAGCACACAACATTAGTACCATCTGGTCATGTGCCTCCAAGGAATGGCTAATGACGGACTTACGGCAGTTTTGGCAAAATTTAGACAGCGCAGGTCACACATCTGTTTCTCTTCTTTTGCGCCAATAACGACAAACCGCATTGAACGTTATTAGTCGATAACTCAACCTAAGAAGGGGGGGGGGGGGGGGGGGGGGGGCATCTTCCATGTATGAACCCATTAACGTATACAAAAAAAACATTAACTTATCTCCTTTTTTAAGGATCAGAAAGAGCAAACTGTCTCATTAATCATGTTGAAACCCCCTTTTATTTCAGTTGTAACGAAAGAGCAACAGGAGATAAGTGTGACTCGTGCCCACCTGGTCACTACAGGTTCCCAGCCTGTTACTCTTGTGACTGCAGTGACACAGGCTCCCTCGGCTCTGAGTGTGATGTTACTGGTACCTGTGACTGCAAGGTAATTCTTTATGAAATTTTAGAATGGTTTTTATTTTGTTTTGTTTAGAAAAAATGTTTATTAAGGTACTTCTAATTTCTAATTTTTTAGATACTTTGTATTTCTAATATTCATATTTGAAGTTGAGTTAGTTAAACTTGACGAGACAATATACAGTTTTCAAGGCTTATTAAAGCTGTCTACAAAATAATCATGTTTTTTAGTAGACTTTCAGTTGTAAAACTTATCCTTAACCCTGCTTAGGAAGGGTACTCTGGAGCGAGGTGCGAAGAGTGTGCTGAAACCCATCACTACAACGGTACAGACTGTGTTCCTTGTCATTGTTCTGGAGTCGATGCTATCTGTTCTGAAGTCAAGTTCTACCCTCACCAGGTTAGTGTTTTTCACTTATTTATAGATTTTAAACAGGGGTACAAATCGAGTGAAGTTGGTGTCGGAAACTTCCAAGAGTCTAGGGAAATGTACTGGATTTTAGTACAGCATCCAAATTTAATTAGTTAAGAACATATTTTGTCATGTTCTTTTCAATAAGCTGGATATTAAAATGCTTCTGCTGTCGTTGATGTCTCCGTTCAGGAGTAAATAATCAAACTGGTAATTCAGTAATTTGTTAATGCACGGTTTGGGCACTGTTGATACACGGTTGGGGTACGGTTGATGCACGGTTGGGGTACAGTCGGGCACAACCCGATTTTTGATGGGGACAACCCGGAACAGTCTGGACAAAATACATAGTTTGGGACTTGGGAGGGATCACTTAGGAGCTTAGGACACAGTCCAGGCACACTCGGGGCACTTAGACATATTGAATTTAAAAACATGGATCAAAAGGGACTCTTCTGCATATCTAGAAAATTGTGCTTCTATTTAAGTAACTTATTAATAAGCTTTAGTAGTCCAAACCTGGGGAAGGAATCTTTGCCGTGGTGCCGTACACTTTAATCTCAGCAATGTTCCAGGGTCCTACCGTTCACTCCTGACTTATCTCAACAACATTTCCGTCTCCTTCACAGTTGAAAGTGTAGGAATTTTCTGCACTGTTGATCTTGCCACAATCTTTAACATACTCAATACTCATCCCTTGTCTTTATGAAAACTGAAGCTCCAACTATCCTTTTTTTACAGCAACTGATTTTTCTGTTGTAGACGATCACTTTAGTAACAAAAGACTGTGTCTCAAGATTAACGCGCATCCACATACCGTCTCCATCTATAAAATATTAGGGATGGAATGTTTCGAACTGGTTCTTCATCTCTGCACTTACAATTGTCAACATATTTTCTCCTGAAATATTTCTTTGATAATGGTTTACAAATCTTTCACTGTCCGTCAATTTTTGAAATACCTCAACATTGATCCCATGCCTATTGCCTTAAGCATATTATGGCAATTTTAAATGATCAGCATAACAACTTTTATTGATTCATTTCAAAATTCGAAATTTATGCCGTAAATATATTTACCCTCGGCTTCGGAGAGATTCATCGCAGTCCCAAATAGGATCATGTAAAAGAACATGTCTGATCAATATAAAATGATAAAAAGTTTTAACAAGTCGTGCTCAACCTCTCAACAAAACCAATGTAAAATAATAATTTGTACTCGGTGATGATACCTATTAAACATTACAAAAGATTTAGCGAAAAAATCGTGTAAAAAACTATTTAATCATTTGTCCGAAATGTTTTCTTAAGAATTATAAATGGAAAAGTGGTGTCATCTCGGTCCGCTACTTTTAAAACCAATAATACCACGATGAGATCGTGTGACCTACCGTGTTGCATACGGTAGGTTTAGGGTTGCTCTTTTGTGAACCATTAAAAAAAACAAAAAAAAACAAACGACTATAGAAACATTGCCCATTAAAATTGGAAGAATTATGCGACCGTTTGGATGGACCAGGCTGCACACTCTATTATGTTATTGTATTATTAAAAAAATATATTCCTATTTTTTCCCGATCCATGACTCAAAGTGCCGAAGGCACAAAAGAGTCAAGGACAAGGGTTAGCGATCGAGGTTTTTTTTTGTATATGGTAGCTTGCGACCGTGCGTGCGTGCGTGCGTGCGTGCGTGCCCTCGCCCCCATGTCGACAGTCTAGTTATCGCCCACGCGTCTGCCTGCGCAAAGTTATTTTGCGCGATCATCTGAATTAAACAATTGTTGGCGCGCGGTGCTGAAATGTTCAAGTACATTGTTAATTTTACCATGTACGCATCCCGATAGGGACTAATTGATAGCATTGTATTATTATTTTGAGTTAGTATTACTATTTTGCACAGATCCGTGTCAGGTTGCATAAACAATAAACATATAGTTACATAGAAATATACACGATTTTCAAATTCAATATAGAATTATATCAACTGGGCGGCGCTCGGCCTGTCACTCCGCCATATCTGCATGCTTATAAACAGCAAAGACTGGGGTCCCCAGGTGGTACTGGTATGGAATATGATAGAATACTTCATCCCGGATCGGGAAATTGAGCGGCCATCCACAAAAGAAAAGCGGCCGCATTTCTTGTTAAACAATAAGTGGCTCATAAATCATAATTACTGTTAACTATGCCTTGTAAGGCTAACGATGCCCAATTATATTAGATAATGATAACAAATAATATGCAAAATAGCAATATAATTTGTCGGCGTACCGACAGTTGCGCCCATTTCCCACACCTTCATAGGCCATTAACATTTATCTGGTTCCCAATCAGTGACGTGATCTGATTTGTCATGTCAGATTATCAAAACGACAGTTGCGCCCAAGGATCACTTGACATTGCAGAGGGTCACATAATGTCAAAATGTCAAGTGATCCTTGTGGATGGATCTGAATTATAATAGACGAGACTCTGGTGACTTAGACATCAAAGAGTGTTGAATGTGCAGTAGGAGAGCGAGAGAACCAGGCTCACGAGATTTGTCATATTGGCTATATATTTTAATCGTTTCCTAAGTTCCTAGTAGTGCAGTATTTTACGCATTGTTTTAGAAGATTACGCGTTTACAAGAAGTATCGTCGCGTTTAGCTCGCGAAATAAAACGTTACTACTTATGAAGGTGCTTGGCATCGCGGCTAGGAAGTTTCACAGAACCAGATTCAGCCGGATATCCGGTCGGTTCCTAGATCAGACTATTATAGAAACAAGCTGTTGGTTGTGTTGACTTCATCATTGTTTAAATTTTCAACGCCAACCTCAGTCTCATCAAAGTTTCTTAATTTGCCATTTATGAATTCCTCCCAATTCCCTCGCTGAACTTTAGCATATCTGTCGTTAAGTTTTGAGCGGTAATTGCTCGGAAGTCGGAATCATAAATTACAGTATAACTATTACACTTTCACAGTGATTAACAGACTAATTAATTGACAACATCATAACGTTAAGGCCACAGGGGGGGGGGGGGGGGGTCCGAGGTCAATTTTGAGATTTTGAGATATGTTGTAGAGCTCGATCTAAATTTTCAAATGCTTTTGTCCTTACCGAAAACAAAGTTTCCTATTTGAAGATATCGCGCGTTGAATTTTGAGGTTTACTAGTAATTCTATTGTACCTTACTCAGGATTATTATAACCGGGATAAAGTGGTGGGTTTTGGAAGATTCCGCCATATTTTTCCCGGTCAAAAATTTTACCAGTCATAAAAAAAACCCGCCGACTCAGATTATGGGGTTCCAAGGGGGTGGTGATCATCATATTTTACCTGAAGTCTCATATGTGCTAGAGAAGACTTTTGAAGCAGTGGATGGAGGGCTGTAACTTTATTGGCGGTTGCTACCATAATTTCGTTATAAAAATCACAATTTGGTTATGGAAATCAGATTTCAGGGTGGACCGTGATTCTCACTTTTCTTGCCCATGAAGTGAGTAAACTGTGCCACTATTTCATGGTCCACGGTGGATTGATTACTGGAGCAGTTGAAGATGCAAAGCCAAGACGTTCCCCAATACCAAGCGGTGGGCAGGAAATTAAGCTCCGGCTGACCTTCAGAGCAGTAGCCCCATTAGCGGACAAAATGAAAGTCTTGTTAAGACAACAATACAACTTCGAATTTGACGGTCAGCAGCAGGGGGATATCAATAATGATAATGGAGGGGACATTAGCGATAATGAGAATGAGAATACGCTTTAATGAAGATTTGACTTATTATTGCTATAGATTTATTTTCCTTTAAATACTAGACGTGTATGGCGGCCGAGATGGCTCGGCCGCCATAGACGTGTCTTTTTTTCTATTTCTGAGTAATATCAGTAACTGTAAATTGAAATAACTTCTTTAACAAGTAACAAAAACAGAAATTTCGGTTGAAAATTTGTTGACCTCTGAAAAAAAACTTGAACGGTCGGCCACCGGTAAATACATGACCGGGATAATTTGGCGGGTTTTGGGAAATTCCGCCATATTTTTCCCGGTTATTTATTTTCCCAGTCATAAATTAACCCGCTATAATATTCCCGAGTAAGGTAAATGAAAACTTTAAATGAAATTATGTTCAAAATCTATCTTCTTTGTCAGTTTATGACTTAGAACCTTGTAACTTGGCAACAATGTTCTTCAAGGTATTTGAGTTTTTGTTATGTAACGATTTATGATATCTTGCTCCAAAGCTGAGATATGAGGTTACCCATGAGTGCGGGTTACAAAATTTACAAAATTTAAAATGGTTAACCTCATAAAAAGAGTTAGGAGCAAAATTACAACAATCGTTACATAACAAACTTTTAAATTTATGTCAGGAACATAAGTTCCAAATTTGAGGTGAAATGGATAAAAGCTCTAGGAGAAGATAGGTTTTTGAGGTGGTAAATAAATTGTTCAGGAGAGTCAAAAGACTGATTCTGAGAAAATATGTTAACCTCAATTTTCCAACAAATAAAGGACATATAATAGTTCTGTTCACATTGGATGGCCAATTGATACCCATTGATAAGTTTAACTTGTGATGAGAGCAATAAAATGTTAAGAACTGGTTATTTGTGAGGTTAACTGATTAAAAAGGCAATAGTTAACCTCAATTTTACGACAAACTAGGCGCTCTGGGGGGCTAAGGGTGGTGTGTAAGCGTCAGATAGTACGTGGTCTGCCAACTGGCAAAAAACGTTTTTTCGACCTCGGACCCCCCTGTGACCTTAACACTCGAATTATAAACAGTGAAGTTGTCATGATTAACATGGCACACAGGTCCACTGTAACACAATCTGTCAGAGTTTACTGATTTCATAAGACATGACACAAATTAGAATCTATGGAACATTAAGATCAAATTTGTTACTCAACTGTGGTAACTTTATTCGATGATCAGTTAAGAAATCAACTACGTTATTGAGTCAGTGATGAATTAAGTCTCACCTGGGTTGACACACTTAGG